ATTCATCTTCTTGAAGTACAGGCGAGCTGCTCCTAGGTCCCCCGCCATTCGGCGGCGCCGTGTTCTCCTCCCCTAGCTTTGAGTACCCAGCATCCGCCAACATGGGAAGAGATGGCTGAAGGAAGTTAGAATTGGATGGGGGTGAAAGTGAGGTTATTGGTGATTGATCTCCAGGCACTGCACTTCCCCCAGAAACGTCGAAATATGGATCATCTTCATCTCCTGCATCGTCTACATCGATGGTTGTGAAATAAGAGTCGTCCATACACCCGCTTGCTACAGCCCCTTCTTTGCTGCCATTGTTGTCGCCCATACCTCCCCGACTGAACCCAGGACCTATTGATCCTGGAGACTTTAAGCAGACATCCAGCGGGGGCAAATTAGAAACTCTGCAATCAAGAAGTTTATATTAACCTAAACGCCCAAGGACCATGTCAAAGCTGCAAGACTATGAAGAACAGAAGATAATTATGGCAAATTAAAATATAAAGTTTCAAAAACAATGGGTTCGTCTATATGGTACAAAAATATGCGATACAAGTATGTAGGGGTAATGATAAGCGTAGAAGTATGCCTGATGAGAAGGTGAATTAACTTTCACCCCTTCGCATGCAATTAAGGAGCAAATCGGCAACCCTTCCTTATAAATGGTAAATAGGATGATGCTCAAAAAGTTCGAAACCATGCCATCTAGAACAATAATATGAAATCCACCAATTAAATTTGCTGAACATTTAACTTTTTCAGGTTTTTGACCACCCGGTTAAACCACCCTAAATCCTTCAAACATTTCTCAAACCCATTCCCTTTTTCAACGCCATTAATAATAGTTCCATGTCATAGTAACGTCTAAAGTTAACAAAAAAATACTAGTTGCGTTATTTTTTAATTTGTAATTAAATTAAGCCAACTCAACGGTAAGTAAGACTAAATGTTGATTAACAATCCGTTTAACAACTTCTGCTGATCTTAAATCTTGCAATATGTATATATAAATATAAATCACTCGCAATCACTCACTCACTCTCTCAGCAAATAATTGAAACTATTTTGCAAAACGGGTATCTTCGTGCTCCACGAAAAATGGTTTCAAGAAATATGGCAGGAAAAACCCCCTCCTTGAACATCTTTCGATTTGATTTTAAACATTGTTTAGAAGAAAGAGTAACTTTCAACTCGTATGTTGTAACCGAATGCATAACTCAAACCAATTTAATAGTCAAGATACTAAAAAGCCCATATGCTTACGCAGCAAAGGAAGAAATAGCAATTTTAGAAAAACTTCGAGACTGTCCACATATTATTCGAATACTGGGGTCGATAACCGGCAACGGGGTAATTACAATCCATTTTCATAGACTATGTGTTTTGCCTTAATTTAAAATTGACAGTACTTGTGGGAATATATAATAATCTGTGCAAGTTGTATGAGAGGTAAAGCAAAACAGTGAGAAGAATGATAAAATGAAGGCTTAAAAAAGAGCACACCACTTTCCAGGCTTTCCTCTAATTTTTCTTTGTTGTATTTTCAATTCCAGATACCAGGGCAATGTATAGCGTGCGAATTTTTGAGTGTTGCATCAAATTGGGAAAGTTTGAGAGAAATTTTGTCTTGTGAGGAAATCCGGTATTATTCCTACCAATTATTCCTAGCTTTGGACTACTGTCATTCGGGAAGGATAATTCACAGAGACATCAATCCTACCAATCTCCACATTGATCGTACAAGAAAATTACTGAAAGTAATGAGCTGGCATTTCGCCGTGGAACATAAATTTATAAATCGCTATGAGGAATTCTATAATGGAAGAGACTACAGAAGTCCAGAACTACTGGTCAAGCATAAGGTATGATAAGATAAACCAATCAAATCATGTTGTCTAGCGATATGGATATGGTATTGATATGTGGGCAGCAGGATGCGTTATAGGTGCAACAATATTTCCCGAAAAGTTCATTTCCAATGCAGCATTTGATGACGAGCAATTGTTTAAATTAGCTAGTATTCTGGGGTGGAGGTCATTGCAAGATTTTCTTTTGAAATTCAGATCACCACTTGCCAGACTCATAGGGAAGAAATTAAATGAGATGGAAACTGATACATGCCTGGAAGATCTCGTAACGGAGAAAAACAGGAGAAAAGCGACTGATGATGTTATTGATTTATTGAAAAAGTTGTTGGTTTACCAACCTAAAGATCGTTTACACACAAGGAGTGCACTAAATCATCCCTATTTTTTCGGTGCTGGCAAGGAACAGTGTTTGCACTACAACAAAACGGAAAGAGTGGATTTAAGAAAGATATTGGCTAATGGAATTTACAAAGAGGGATTAGAGACCTGCAAGTTTTACCAAGTGATGGATAAAACAAGTGGAAAAGAATATGTTGCAAAAGTCATAGATGCTGAGGATAAAGACGCAATTGTGAGGGAATATAGCATTGCGAAAAAACTCATAGGATGGCCACATATCAATCACATTTCGGGCATCATATCCAGTAAAATTGTAAGCACTTTTGCTATCACTATTGCTAGATACACTAGCGAAAAAAAATTGTGATGAAATCTAAGTGGCCTTGTTTCACTTGAAATTTAAAATCGTTTGTCTAATTCAGCTCCACGAGCCATTACTGCTCCAATTATTTCAGAAGTTTCAACTATGTGTAAGTGAGGAGGGCCAAAAGTATCTGGATTTAGTACAGTTTTACTATAATTCAGAAGATTACAATTTTTCATAATTTACTCTCTCTCTATCTCTGGTGTTCCAAAGTTTACATTCACCTGGTCCAATTTTTAGTCACAATACGCCAAAGGTCGTTGACCAGTGTTTTCAATTTACCGATTGGCCATGCAACCGTCTTAACAATGAAGAGATAAGTAGGGCCTTCGAATACAGCTTCAGAGTGACAGAACTCCATTGGAGTTCATTCGTTTTGTCCACAATTTCGCACTAAACAAACTTCTACCAAAGCGTTAGGTGAACATGATTTAAAGTACTATATCTATTTATTCAGGGAAATATCTACTTACATGTATATGAATACGTGGAGGCAGCACCTTGGGACTTGCTCTACAACAGCTTGTCAATAGAAGATATTCGACTCTACATCTACCAACTTCTTATGGCAGTCGAAGTATGTCAAATGAATAATATAATACACCGTAATATCAAACCCAGTAATATACTCATCGACTGCGCCAGAAAACAGGCCTATCTCGCAGACTTTAGCCAGGCAACTTTTTATTCCGATAAGAAACCTCTTCGCACAGATGTTGGCACGATACCCTACTGTGCTCCCGAAATACTATTGAAGCAAACGGTTTGGTCATAGTGTTTGACTAAAGCTTGCGTTTATTTTAGAGATATAACTATAGTGTGGACATGTGGTCAATTGGCTGCATAATAGCAAGTTTGATATTTCGAAAAAGGGTTTTTTTCGAAGCAGACGATTCAAAGAATTACCTTCTGAAGATTATTTCTGTTCTAGGGACTGCCTCCTTCCACCTATTTGTAAATCATAACAAAATTAATATTGAATGTGAGCTGGGCCCTGAGTATTTGGGAAGAAAGTGGACAGAATTTATTTCGAACGAAAATGCTGAATTTGCTACAAATGAAGCGATTGATTTAGTGAGCAAACTGCTCACATTCGACCAAAGAAGACGTCTTACAGCTGCAGAAGCATTGAAGCATTACTTTTTCAAGGAATTTTTATTCAATTTTAGTAAATAACCTTCAACGGTGGCCATATAATATTGATCTCATTGAGAACACAGATTATTGAATACATTAAAGGATATATATTAAACGTGCAGATTTTGCCTCAGCTATTTCTAACCTGTCTACAGGTAGCACAATTTTGTGGTCATCTTAAGTAGCAATAGGGCACAAAAAAAACATTACGCATTGATTAAATAATGAAATATTTTTGAACCATTAAAAGTAAATACAATGCCATTTGGACAGTAGAGAGTCTAATTTATCACAAAATTAACCATGATAACCAACCGAAACTCGTGAAGTTGGCGTTTGGACACCCCATAAAACGGGAGCATGACTCAAGACTTAATTATACAAATGAAAACATATTTGAAAGTCATGTTGATTAATACGCAGTTAAAGGAATACTTAGGCACACTGATTAAAAGATATCTATAGAAAGTGTATGAATATGAGCTAACCATTGGCTACTCCTACGTCCAAACTGAATGCTGATGAAGGTTTCTAGCCAATGAACAAAGTAGCACAAAATATGATTGACCAAAGTCCCAATCACAGTTCAAAATCGATATGCCAGAGGCACTTACATCATTCTACCATCTGCACCGCAAGATAGACAGAACTGGTTACCCGGTAAAAGAGAAATTGCCATAACAGCAACCGAAGGCTTATGTACCTGAAAAGCAGAAGAGATAGATTACAAAGTATTTCCATTCAAGTAAGTATCAGTAGAGGAGATTTATCTGAACCTGATGAACAGCGACTTCATAGCCCGAAGTAACGTCAAGAATAATGATACGACCATCTGAGGTACCTACAAATCGTCGATTTACGGAGCGATCCTCGCTGCTTTTCGTTCGACGGCGAAGTGAGGGTGGAAGTGAAGAGTAGTTGGTTTCATGAGCAATTGCAGTTATCCGATCCTTTCCCGTTCTTGTGGCCCACACAAGCTCGGAGTCTGCACTGTTGCTATTGCTGAAAATATAAGAACAATGTTACTTTAATCAAGTAAGTAACCATTCGAGAAGAGCCAAGTATTGGTGTTTACTTCGGTTAAGTGGACAAGTGGTGACTTATTTTCCTTAGCACGAGGCAATCTAGAACCTATTCTAAAATGCGCAAATAGGAGGGATAACGAAAAAATAGACAATAGCAACTTATGCCGAGAGGTAACTTAAGAGGCTTATCAAAAGAAGACACTCTGGTAAAACAAGATTACGCCAGTTATAGGTAACAAGACATAGGTAGCAGTATACGTCTATCGCCAGCAATAATAATGTTCTGCATGTGTCTAATGTGTAATTTTGGCTTGCTGCTATCATCAAAAGTACCTGCGGTTACAAAGTCACTAATGCGCATTATAATTGATTCTCGCATTAATAAATTTGTAGCTCAAGAGTAGTAGCAAAGTTATACCACTAAAATTCAAATATTAATGTAAAATCACCTTAACGTAGATGAAACCAAACCCATAGACGAGTTAAAGTAAAAAAAAGGAAACCGGGGTTTGGCTAATGTGATTCTGACAAGTGTGTGGGCTTAAATAGAAATTGACTAAAATAAGTGGTTCTTATTAAATTTAACTCTCAGCGAACGCTGGTGAGTTCTTTTCTAAAGAGATGGTATGGTAGCATCCACTAGTCTTGAATGTAAAGACACATACAAATCGCGGCAAACCTACGTTTTGCAGTCGCTGCAAGCAGACGTTAACTTAAAACATCAATTTCTTGGTAATAGTTACATAGCCTCAAAAATGTCCAGAATAGGTAAAAGCATTTGTATAAAAAAACACCTTACTCCAGCTCAATCGCTCTATATAACTGGTAAAAAAATATTAAGCATAGTTTTGTTGTACCAAAGAGAATCGTTAAAATCTTCCGAAAAATTTGCATTTCTAAATGAAGTTTCGCTCACCTCCAATACCAGTAGTACCTCAGCGTCGGAGCCATATTCGCCTTCAATGCAGCCGCATCTGCCGCTTTGAGTATATTTAGCGACTGTTGAAATACGGCATTATCATGAGGGAACATGAGGCCAAGTTGAAGCAAATCCAATCCTTTCACCATCAAATCCTTACGTGGCTTCCTCACGCTGACTCCACGTTGTCGATCCACAGTATCACTACGTCGGAATGTGGGTGGAGAAGGTGAGCTGTGGTGATAGAATTGGCCATGCATCCCAGCAAAACCTCCCATTGAAGGGGTGTCGGGGGTCATGCTTTGCTTTAAAGCGGAACATTGAAAACCAGCGGCACAGGGAATTTTGACGCCACCGATAGCACCAATACTTCTACTGTGACCTCCGCTATCAGTACCCATGTCACAGAGGGAGCCGGGACGTGTGGGAGAGCGAGCACGACGATGGAGTTCACGAACTCGACGATCGGGATTTATTAGCTGGTAGGCAGTGGTTTGGAGGAAATGAAGATACATGTGCCTGTGAAATGTAACGGATTTTATTATGATAATCTAGGTGCATTTAGCCTAGTAATGGCAACAAATCATTTCACGGAGTTGTGGTGTGTCAAATGTTATTTGAAAAGCCAAAAAAGATACCGACTTCATTCTAAAAAAGTGAGTAGAACCATATACAACGTATAAAGCAATTCTACTCCAATCAAAACCCGTGGATCCATAATAAAAGGTAATATTTAAATAATCATACCTTGAAAAGGGGTGTGCGATAGACTTACCTCCACGTGGTGCACCCTGGGCAACGTATATTTTATTGACTGGTAGTTGACTTCTCACTTCAAACTACCATGACCCCACTGTATGCCATATTCCACCACTTCTACAGTACTCATCCTACCTTTTCTCTGCCTTTGTGTCTGTCTCCTTTACAACTATAAATCACTTTTCTGTTCCCCACCCCTCGACTTTCTGTTACCCTGATGTTCTTTCCTCTCTGTGAAGCCCGAAGTCAGCCAAAGGGCTAATGATGACTATCAAAGCGCCTGCCATTTGAAATAAATAAATAAACCTTGAAAATAAGAGATAGATTCGTGCTTTGACCGTGAGATAATGAGTTAATCAAAAGAGTTATAAAAGCGAAGGTTAAGATTTCAAATCAGTTTTAAAAATCCACCAACACCAGCGTTTCTTATTATGAAGCATGATAATTAGCTGTGACCTCATTCCCACAAATTTGCTCAACTTTCCATGACTAACAGTAGGAGAATTCGTTATCGATTGACAATCTAACTCCAGAGCAATACGTTCAAGCAGTGCCAGTAACTAGTAGCCAGCAAACCTAGCTGGATTTGATAATTCGAATTAACGACAAAAGAATTGAATTGAATTTCTACAATGGTTACTAAAAACTCATGTTTAGTTTAGAAGTCGTAATTGTTGGTAACACACCAAATAATCACCAAAACTCAAAACAGAGCGAATAGCAATGGGTTAAATCATCAAGGTTTTGTCAAAGACAGTAAGGAAAAGCGTTGTGAAATGTTGGGTTGGGGGGGGGGGAGCACAAGGTAAGCAAATCAACCACTTGTATACTTACCGCCAATCTCCTCATTAGAAAGCGTTTAAAATGACCTATAGGTAAGAGAAAAAAACACGAGCCCTATAAGTTTCCATCTAATTGTACCTAAAATCCACAAAGGAGCCAGTTAGCAAATAACATAAAACCTCTTCCAAGTTGGGGGGGGGGCAAAAATGACCTACAAAATTATCACCAGTCTGTCCGAAACAAACCCACGGCTGAAGTAGCTTTATCATCAAAATAAACGACCAAAATACGTGTTTTTCTGATCTCTTAATCGTATTTTTTACCAAAATTTTAGTAGCAGACATCAAAATATTTACACCACAGAGAGCTGCTGTCTTAATCAACATATTCAAGCTGATTGCAGACGCAAAGATTGAATTTTATAAATACATTATAGTAATTAGACTTTGTCACTGATAGCTCCAGTGTATGTTAATTAGACTGATCGCCTCCATGGGACATTCAAGAGAATAGGTGACCAATCGAACTGATTAATCCCGGTAGACAAGTAAGATGACAGCTTGCTAGTACCCGCCTTGATGGATTCCCAATCCAAGCAAAACACTGCCAATATCATCAATAAATGCCAGTAATGAGACCACGATCTAATCGCTTACAATTACTTGTATGGGTTAGGGAAGACATAAATCTCCGCTTAAAGCTACAATCGCCAATAGTGGGTTAGTGGGAATAAAAAGAGTAAAGAAGTTATCAAACGAAGTAGCACATTCTACACGTCATACATGCTATCTTTCAGCATTGTCTCCCACATGCTCTTCCTCCCAAATCCATTCGAAAAAAAAGCCTTTAGCACCTTAGGAATTCGACCTTCGAAAATGTGCCTAATCGATCCAGGCACTGTGCAAGCACCTCTCTCCCGTTCCTTACTAGCACATATCTACGACAGCCAAATTAGTGAACCAATAGGCAGCATTTTTGTGGTTCAAATAATTAATAAGCACCCAAACCACAACCCTGTGTCCTCTACGAACTTGAAGGTATGCGGGAGGACATGTAAATGGCGGCACACAATGTTTCTTTGTTTATTTGTTTGTTTATATGTCAATCAAATAGTCGCAGCATGTTAATAGTTGTTTGAATTGTGGCAAAATTATCCAATGTTTCATGTGTGGAAAGGTAGGCGAAATATCTTTCAGCAAAATGGAGTAGAGCACAAATCTGAGGAAAATAGATTTTATGAGAGCAGGGAGAGATGGCACGATATTTACGTGGGAATTAATGAAGTGGGACAATTTTAAGCGGTTAGAAACGCTGAAAATCGCATCTCATGTTAATATTAGAATTCATGTTTACGATGTCCAAGAAATGTACTTTTAAATGCCTACTTTTAATAAGTACCTAAAATTCATTTGTAGAATCAACAGAAAAGGGCAGCGCAAGATATAGTGCCCAGAATTCTATGAAACGTCGCCATTATTGATCCACCTCAACAGTTTGCTGCCATGAAGTAAAGAAACTGCATATTTGAAAAATATCACCCACCGGTGCCGCATAAAACATAATTGAGACTTCTTAGTTAACCACGGTAATTAAAAATTATTCAAATGCAATTCAACTGAAAATAAGAACCATTTTACTCTAGGTGCAGACTCTCCTAATCTCGCACACTTCACCACCTTTCTAAATGCTGAAAAGTTAGTATTTTGCTGTTTACTATCTTTGACCTTTTGGAATGTAGGATACCAACCTAGTTGCAATTAATATAGCAAAATTAATTTTGCGTATCATATGATCAACCATTTAAAGGGAAAACACCGGTTTTTATGAAGGTAGGAAATCAACAGATCGAAGACTGTAATATTTCGATAAATGTTAAATTCAATCATTAAATTTCCACTGGAAATTGAAGGAAATGAGTAATATAAATCTGCAAAACCAAATTATCCAAACATGAATTATAAGGAAACCTACAAAAAATTGGTATAAAATCTAACTAATATAAATCATGAGTCTAACAGACTAGTTATGTTGAGCTCAAGATTAGCGCGCCTATTAATCCAAATAAGATTACAGCGCTTGAACGTTATTTCCAAGGCAAACTATAGAGCGTAAAATTCAGTTTAAAGTTATGAGAAATCAAAGTGATAACAAAAAGAGACCATTCGATTGAGAGTTAAGGGGTGGCGACAAGACGCGTATCCAAATAAGTGCCTGCAAATGACGAACGGAGTAATAAAAGGCAACACTAAAAAATTATTAAACTCAAAGTAAAAACCCTGAAAACCGTAAAAAGTAACTGAATAAAACTTCTGAATCTTGCAGATTTTATTACAGTCACGATTTCTGGGAGTTTGAAATTCGTCAATAGAAATGGTATTACAAAAAAAACCATTTGGCACCACGAATGGCAATAGCATTAACGTTAATTGTATTATGTCAAAACTCACCAATCAGTAATGCGACCAACTCGTTGAAAGACAGGTCGATATCGCCTAAAATCTGCAAGAACTGTTGAAGAACCAAGAACCAGTAGACGAGCACAAATGAACTGGAGGTCAGTCAGAAGGTCAACTAGAGCAAACAGTCGACCACCTTTGAGCATATGCTCACCTACTGACCGACAGAAGTAGGTGTGGATTAGCTTGAAATCGGCTAGTTGGTTCCATTTGCCGCTGAAGCGAGCTTTGTAATTGTCCACGAATTGGCAGTGAAGGGCCTGGGAAGAAGAGAAGAACTGAAAGCTATGCACCAAGTTAACCGTAATGAGTGACAACATAACGACATATGACGCATGTGTTCACTAACTACATTAACTCTTTAACACCCTTAGAACCGTACAGTCCTCTTTCAAAATAAGCCCTGTTGTTACCAGACTCGTAACAGAATGCGGTATTGCGGTTTGAAGCACATTCAATACGTATAAAGCCTTAGTCTGATACCACCCAAAACTCATCACGTCGATGGCATCAGCATGCTGTAAGGCACGCCTGAAAGTGGTTGAGTGCATTTTTCAAAAAATAAATCGATTGTTAGAGTTAATATTGAGTACGCTTGATGGACATTTTTTAATTCTTTTAAAGAATATGTAAAATATCAAATTAGCTTAAAAACAGATTTCACTTCGTAACCAATTTAGATAAAAAGAAAAGACGAAAGTATAGTCACAGAATTAATGAAATAAGGTACTTCAAGTAATAATGATAGAAGAGTTAGCAAACTACTGCCTACTTAAATCAATTCAGCGACCAATAAAAATCTCACCTGTTGTTTCCTAGTTGGAACAGTAGTTCGGAGAAGATCTAGTTGGATATTAGGTACTGAGAAGAAATTGCAACCACTTTCGTCATCCTGATTGCATCGGACGAGAGAGTAGCGATGAAGGCGTTGTAGAGTTTCCACAGCTTCTTGTTTGGTGCAGGCCCAGTAGATCTCATAGACCTGAAAAAATTGAAAGACTTCAATAATGTTGAGCTCGTATATACCAGATCGTAGATGCTCTTCGCGAAACTAGAGATCACCAAATTCTAGGAATCGGAAATAAACGAAGAAGCTTTAATAACTCGAAAGAAAAACAATAAGTGTCTTGGAAACTGAAAGAATTAATAAATGCCCGTATTATTAACGTTATTAGGTGAAAGATATGACGAAAAATATCACTAAAGTCTGTGTCGACGATAAGACCAAGACAAATGGATATTTATCCCTCTTACCATGGAACTGAAAGCAAAAGGAAAACCGATATAAATATCATACTATATGTCTAGCAAGGTGTATCGAAACCCCCTTTGTTTGCTGTAATTTGCTTAATGATATACCTGGAATCAACGTACTCGCGTCCCTACCCAAATGACTTGTACAATGTGTTTGTATCTCCCCTCACTTAAATATAAACACACTTGAAACTCCACCCCCCCCCCTGTACCCTACCCTCTCATCTATTCTC